CAGGCTCGGGTGATCTGACAGGTCTGTGAGTTGAAAAGACCCCTGTGGTTGCCAGGTGGAGGATAAACTTGAGCAGCCAGGGGCTGGAGGTGGGAGAGCAGCTTGGGGGCTGCTGGGGAGGTGGGCCTGAGGGGAACCATGGCAGCTTGAGCCAGGATGGTGAACATGGAGGTGGAGGGAGAAGAGAGAGTCTACAGGAGGGGAAATGATAATACAACCAACAGTAGTAATAATAATAGCCAACATTTATTGAGCACTTACTGTATGCCAGACCCTGTGGCTTGGGGCTATCCAAGCATTATTATCTCAGTTATCTTCACACCAACCCTGTGAGGTCGGTTCTATCATTATTTCCATTTAGCGGTGAAGGGGCTGCAGGGCTCTGACCAGAAGGCGCTTGGTTTATGACTGTCACTACTGGGATGGGGTCGGGGGAAGCTGGAGGAACCATTCAAAGACCTGAGGACCCCCGCACAAGGATCATGGGAAGCAGGGGCACACTGTGGTGGAGGGCCCTTGGGGAGGCTGGGAGGGGAGCACACCCAGCCCCTTCTCCACTGCTCATGGGTGTCCTTCATATGGTACCATGACTCCAAGTGGGGCCCTGGCCTGGGGGAGTGGGCTCTGAGGTAAGGGGGTGCACTGCCTAGAATCCCCTGATAACAGCTCTGTCCCCCAGCCCTCCGCATGCCAAGCCACAACTCCAAGAGCCCTGTGTCAGCTGGGACCCAAGGGAGGAAGAGAAGCCTCTCGCTGGGGGTTTCATTCCTGCCACCAGGTAAATTCCCTTCCCAGGGAGCTGATGGGGAACCAGTTTTTATCAAGTTCCAAAGAGGCAGTGACGGGACAGAGAGACAGACACAGGACAAGGGTCAGAGGAGAGGCAGGCAGCTGGGTGGATGGAGGTGGGGCCTCCCCAGCTTGGGGGCCATTGGCACTATTTTGGCATTTGGAAGGTCAAGTGACTCAGGAACAGATGTTAACACACACACACACACACACACACACAGAGGACACTCTGGCCTGCAGCACAAGGACCACCACTGGCCCTGATGGGACACAACAATGTCCCTGATGATGACATGCAAATCGGAGACTAAAGCTGAGAGCCTCAGACCTGAGCTGGCCCCCAAGGAAGACAGGAGGGCAGGTTTCAAACCAGGCAGCCCCAACACTCCCCTGCCTGCTCTCACACCTCTATGACCCCCTGCCCTCTGCCTGGTTAATTCCTCCCTGCCCCTCAAAGCTTGCCCCAGCATCACCTCCTCTGGGGCAGTTCTTATTCTCATGGCCCCAGGAAGTCCCTTCATAGCCTTTCCAAACTGTACCATCATCATCATTGTCCTGTGTGTGTCAGGGGCACCACCTCCCACCCCAGAACACACGTGGAGCTCATCCCGTCCCAGCTCGTCCCCCCGACCCCTCATCTCCTCAGGCTGGTGCCCAGAGCACAGGAGAGGGGACCAGGGGAGCAGCTGCCCCAGCCAGCACTGTTGCCCCTCGGGAACTCAGATGGGCCCTCCCACCCCGACTACACAGCCCCTATCTCCAGGGCCAGCACCAAGGCCCAGGGTAGGTGGCAGCTCCTCAGGGAAAGGTGACCTCACCACCCATCCCACACACTGACAGTGGCCTGGGCAGAACAGCATCTCTATTGAGGATAGGAAATGCCCTCAATGAGGCCACTCCAGAGTCCCAGAGACTGAGGCAGTGGGCAGGAGGCAGCTGTGGAATCTCATCTTCCTCAAGCACACACACACCCGGGATGCACAGGACCTTTCTCTCACATATACACAGCACACTGACACACACGTGGGGTCTCACACACACGCCACACACACTGTCACACACAGGATCTCACAGGCTCTGTCTTATACACGCCCTCACATACACACAGTGTGTCACACACAGGGACCCCCACCCCACACAGCCTCCTGCCTTATGTGTACACACGTACACACACACACACAGCCTCACACACGAGCTCCACATATGCAGTTTCACACTTGCCACACACAGCCACACACTCATGCAGACACGCTCACCTCGACTCTCATGCACTCCTCAAACCTCACACACAGCATCTCTCTTACACATGCAGGCTCTCTTCCTTATACACACTCTCTCCCACACAGTCTCATTCTCACACACGCACAGTCCATCCAAAACACAGAATCCACCTCTCTCACACACACAACCCCTGACACAAGGACTCAGGAAGCTCACACTGAGTCACAGTCTCACCACACACACACACATACACACACACCCTGAGTCTCACATTTTTATTCTCACACACACAAGTCTCTCACACACAATCTCTTTTACACAGAGCCTGTCTCACACATACAGCCTTTCCTTCATACACATATGCAATATCACACACAACGTGCTGGTCTAAATCTAGAATAACGACTTGAGTCCCGACCCGCCTGTGTGAGGAGGCGCGGGGGAGGGGTAAACAAAGGTGACAGCAGAGGCGGCAGAGCAAAGACGGAGGGGGAGGAGGGCGGGCAGGCGGCTGGTCTCTGCGCAGATGAGCCGCAGAGAGGCAGCGCAATGCAGCTAGGCCAGCCGGGCGGCAGGCAGGAAGCCGGGGTTCTAATCCCGCTTTGCCCTCCTCAGCTCCTGAGTGCCCTTGGGCAGGTCCCTCTCCCTACGGGCCTCAGCGTCCTCAACTGTTCCCCAAGGGAGCTGGAAGGGACCACAACCTTCCTCGGAGGCCACTGGGGAGAGAAGGTGGCTCAGACAGGCTGAAGGGGAGCACCCACCAGCACCAACTCCTATCCCAGTACCGCCTCGCCCCGACCACCAGGCGCCCACTCTTTTCCCTCAGAGTCCGCTCTTCAATGAGTATTCACTTCATAGATTTTTTTCAAGACTTTTCTGCATGGTTTTGCACACCAATAGAACCTCAAACCACACTAGCTGGCCCATTTGTCTGCCTTGGGTGAAGGCCACCTGCAGCCTAGAAATGTCCAGTGGGAGAAGAGGGCCAAGGGAGGGGATTGGAACATGCCCCACTGCCCCCTGCCTGCCCTGAAACTCGGGACACTGATCAGAGCCCCAACACTGAGTGCAAGGGGTGGGGCTGGGAGACCCAGCTCTTGCTTGGGAGTCAGGAGATTGGGCCTAACCCTTGCTTCTGGGGCCAAAGTTGGTGGGGGAGCTGCTGTCCAAGGTCAAGTGTGGGCTGAATGGGCAGCTGCTGTAACCCAGGCCTCTGCCCACCCCCACCCCAACATGCACTGGTTCAACCTCCCATCCCCCTCCTCCAGCCCCTCCCCACAGCTCAGCCACAGCCTCCAGTTACATAACCCTCTAGCTGTGGTGGCCTCTGACAGGAAAGGGAAGGGGAGGGAAGCCCTCTGAGGGTCCCAGTCCACTCTGGGGAAAGGCAGGAGCTGGTAGCCAGCCCAGGGGAGGATAGGGTCCCAGGAGAATTGAGTTCTAGTCCTTGGCCTCTTGCTCCCTGGGTGACCTTGGTCAGGGTTCTCAGTGGCAAAACACGGGCCGGGCTCTCTCCCTATTGCCTCCCCTTATAAACATAGTCGTTCTAGAATTCAGGGTATCAGACTGACCCACTATCCACCCCCCACATGCCATACTGTGTTTGATCTCAGTTAACAGATCTACCAGGTCTGTGCCTAAACATAGATTTTCTCTGCCCATGGGCACTTGAGGGCCCCCCAAGTCTCCCCCTTCCACTCTCCTCTGCAGCTTCTTAGCCCTCTCCCCTGGCTCTGGCTTAGGCTCCAGTGGGCAGGAGGGGAGAGATGGGAAGTAAAAGACAGCAGGGCAGAGGCAGTGCTTTGCCTGGTAGGGGGTGAGGGCAGCTCACGGATGCAGGAGGGGCTCTCCTTTAACTTCTCCACTCTACCCTTCCCCTACAGGCCTTAGAGTCTCTCTTTAGGCCTCTAAGGACAGAGCCCAGTGAAGGCTGGGAGTGCCTCTTCCAGGGTGGGTGGCTGCTACCAGTTCCTCGTTTTGGGCTCAGTCACTTATGGTCCAGCAGCAAGGCCCTTGAGAGTTCACCAGGCCCCCTCCCCCATTTTACAGATGAGGAAACTGATCCAGAGAGGCCATCTGAGGGACCAAGGTCAGTAGCAGCGTGTCTTTTTTTCCTGGAAATAAGCGGGTATGGCTAAAGGGGAGTGGCCCATGAAGACACACCCACCTCTCACACACCTTCTCCTTATAGGTTCCCCCTTAAGGACTCCCTCTCCCCACCACCGGATGTCCCAGAGGAAGCACTGGCATAAGCCCAGTGACCCACTCCAACACCCTCCCCTTTCGACAAGGAGGAAGGACAGGCTATGATCTCAGGATCAGGGGCTCAGAGGGACCACCCCTACCCTACAGCCCAGCCCTCCACCAACTTCCAAGCCATGGAGATTAGCCATGAGATGCCCTCTTGACCACCTCCTCAAAATTGCCGGAGGCTGCTCCCTGAGGAGGGGGCGGCTGTCTCAAGCTGCCCAGCAGGCCTCAGGCCTTTTTGGGGGACCATGGCTGGCTCCAGATGCCCCTTTACCTGGACAGGAGGAAGGGCTCCCAGCTTCCCTCCCCACACTAAAATCTCGAGGGCAGTTCATACTTTGACAGTACACCTCTGCAAAGAAACAAATGTGCACGGGCAATCGCTCATGCACACTCAAACATACACACATGCTCACTCATTCCCACTCCACACTTTACCCACCCAAATACACTCCACCACACTTACATAAATATGCACACACAATCTACTCATACACACAAACACACCCATTCATACTCATACATATTAAACTTGGCAACACACAGACTGACATACATAGAAAACCAGAACCCCGGCAGACACCCTTTCTCTCTTACCCTGGTATGTGCACACATGCGCACACACCCCCTTTCGATTCTGAACTCCCTAGGCGCCAGTTCTGCGGTCCACCCCTGCCCGCGGGGAGGCACAAGAAGCTGCCTTCCCGCCCCGCTCTTCTGATGGGTAAGTTGTCACTTACCCGCGCGTAGCGGGACGAGTAAGGGTCCTCGAAGAGCGCCCAGATGCGCGGCTGCCAGCGGCGCCAAAAGCCGCCAGGCCGGCCATCGGGGGAGTCACTGAGCGCCAGGCGCTTGGTCATCTCCAGCTCGTCCTCGCCGTCGCCCGAGTCTCCGGGGCCCTCGGCGTCCGCGTCGTCGGCGCTGTTGTCCAGGGGCGCGCCGCCGAAGCTGTCCAGCGCCTCCTCGGCGTCGCGGTGCTGGCGGTACGTCATCCAGCAGCAGGGCTCCACGTCGGTCTCGTCGATGCCCCAGAAGGCCAGCTCCTCCTCGTAGAGCGGCCCGCACACGTCGGCCGGGCAGTGCAGCTTGCCCGTGCGGTAGTAGTTCAGGATGTGCGCGAAGACGCCGGGGTGGCGGTCGAAGAAGAACTCGTCTGCACGCGGGTCATAGTCGAAGTGGCTGTGGGCGTCGGGCTCCGCCAGCCAGGCGAGCCGCGTGCCGGGCAGCGTGCGCAGGGTCGAGCGGTACGTCTGGTGGCGCGTGCCGCCCACGTTGATCACGATGCGCTCGCTCTCGTCCCCTTGGCCCATCGCGGCGCCCCCTTAGGCATGGCGCGGCCCAGCGACACCCATGGGAGCGGCCGCCAGGGGGAGTTGGCGCCGGGGAGGGGGGCGCGCGGCCTCTTCCCCCCTCCCCCCAGCCGTCGGGGGGAACAGAGGTCCGCGGCTCTGGCCACCCCAACGAGCGAGCCAAGCCTCTCTGGGCGCTTTCTGTTGGGTGCCGGTCCAGGGGAGTGTGCGGGATCCCAGGGGTCTCTAGGCGCCAGATGTGGGAGGGAGCTGGTCCGGCAGCGGAGGAGGCAAAGGAGGAAAGAAGGGAGGGAGAAAGGGAGGGAGAGAGGGAGGGAGAAAGAGGGAGGGGGGCGGGCTCAGCGGTGAGCCCCCGGAGGAGGGGAAAGAGGGTTGGGGGGCCGGTCTCCCGTTCCCATCTCCGCGGGAAAATGGAGAAATAGGCACAAAGCTTTTGGGGGGAAGGTCAGCCGCTCCCAGGGCCGGACTAGAGGCCAGCCCCCGGGAGGGGGAGGGGAGGAGACCGGGCCGGGAAATTCGCGCTCCTCTGTGCGGTGGTCGCCGCGGCGCGCTCTCGGCGCGGGGGAGATGGATGCCGCCTGCCTTCCTCCCTGCGTGGCCGGGCTGCAGCTCGGGACGCAGGGCGGGCTCCGGCCCCCTCCCTCTCTCCTTGCTTGGCTGCCTGCTCCCCCCGGCGGCGGGCCCGCCTGCCCGCCCGCCCTCCTCGTTCTTTCTCCCCGCCTCCTGGAGATGGCGGGCCCCCTGGGCAGGGGCACCCGGGGTGTTTCTCGTGCGGCTAACGCCGAGCGCTGCTCTCGGTGCGCCCGGGCTCCAGCTGGGGCTCCGCTGGGCTGCGCTGGGACTCGGGCTCCCGCGGCGGTGCTGAAGGGACAGCTCCCGGCGGTCGCGGAGCTGCGCGGGGCCAGGCGGGGGTTCTCCCGGCTAGGTTTGGTTTGCGGGGCCGGCCGGCACTGGCTCCGGTGCCTCTGCGCCCCGCACTCCGCTCCTCGCTTCGGGCAGGCGGTGGGCGCTGCCGGCCGAGACGGGGGGCTGCGGAGGTCGGGCGGGGAGGCGGGGGTGGCGGGTCCGGGCGCGGCGAGGTGAGGCCGGCGAGGCCGGTAAGGCGAGGCGCGGAGCGGCCGCCGCCGCCGCCGCGACGCTGCTGCCGCCGGGGCTGCTGCTCCGCTAGCTGCTCGCCCGTCGCCTGCTTGCTCGCGCGGTCCGCGTCCAGCCCGCCGCTCTCCGGACACGGGCACACGGCGCGCGCAGCCGCACTCGCCCCCGGAGGAAGGCGCCGCGCTGGGTCCTAAAAAGCCCTGATTCCGCGCCCCCCTCCCAGCCCCGCACCAAGCCCGGCCTCCCTCAACCTCGGCGCTGGGGGCGCCCGCCCCGCGAGGCTCCTGCTGCTCCCGGGGGACCCGCCCACGCCCCGCCCTCGGGGAACGCCACTCCAGCGGCGGGGGCTCCGAGAGACGTCTGGGCCCGCGCCCCCGGGTCAGACTGAGGTGAGAAGGGCGTTGGCACCCTCCCCTCGCCTTCCAAACCAGGGACCATCTGATCCCTGGTGAGACAAAGCTCTCCGGAGTTTTGTCATCAGAGACACCCTGGCCCGGACCAGTGCTGACCGCTCCAAGGAATCCTCTAATACCGACCCTTCCCGCGGAACCTGGAGGCTCCATGTTCCTTCCATGGGTAATATCTTGCATGGACCCCAAGACACACACACACACACACACACACACCACGTTATCCTCTACGCCCTCCACTAACAATCAGTCCTGGACCCCTATTAACCCCTTTGGACTCCTTACTGACCCTGGGCCCTTTCCAGCTTCAGACAGAGGGAGTCTCCCATGAATGCCACATCCATCCAAGCTCGCTGACTCTCCCACACTAACCCTGGATCCCTAGGTGGAGACCCCTTATGAAAAGGGCCTTCTGCCCTCGGAGGTCAGAAGCAGCAACTGCTCGTAGTTTCCCTGAGCACTGACACCCCCACCCTGCACTTCCTAGGGCTTCAGCTGCCCTTGGTGATTATGTCTGGGGGCTGGGAGGGAGGAGCTGGTGTTATGTCTGGGGGCTGGGTGGGAGCAGCTGCTTGTGTGATTCCTCCAGCTTCACAGTTGGTCCTGGGGGTGGGAGTTTCAGTTTGAACCTCAAAGCCTTCCTGGCCCATGCCTGCTGCTAGTGCCTCAGTTTACTCAGTAGAGCAATCACTCCTTTACTCCTTACTTGTTTCATGATCCGTCCCAGGCACAAGGACACAAGAGATGTATCAGACCCAGCCTCTGGCCTCGAGAAGCTCCCAACCTTCTGGGGAGGTGGCCAGGCGGGCCTAGGCATGACTGGGGAGGTCAGGCCCGGCTCCAGGGGTGGCTGGGCTGGGAAAGAGGCTTATTGATCCCAGCTCAAACCAATCGAACACAGGATGGCTGGGCAAAGGGCGATTTAATTAAGAAGATACAAGGCTCTGATTACCTGCTGGCACTTTCTAACTGTGCAGACAGCTGTCCCTCTACCCTGACCCACAGATGCTGTCGTGAGCCTGGGGACAAAGCTGTGCCACAGACATCGCTCTCCTTACTTGGTCAGGGGAATCCCAATCTAGCCACAGGAAAATCTGTGTGTGGTGGGTAAAAGACTTGGAGGAGTGGAGAGGGGCAGGGCAAGGATTGACAGATGGTAATAGGACAAGGGGAGAGACAGAGAGGCAAATTAAGTCAGAAACACAGGCAGAGTTGGGTGGAGACAAAGAGAGGGTTGGAGTTTGGGGCCTGCATGGCACCTCCTCCTTCCAGATATTGATCTGTGTGATTCCTCTAAATAGGAGCTGTTTCCCCTTCAATCTCAGAGTAATGCAGGGATAAGAGTGTTTTTGATTGTCCCTTTCACCCTGACCAGTGTGAGTTCCCATCTCCTAACCACAAGGAAGCCTGGCCTGGTGTGGACCAGCCTGGCCCATATTCAGATCCCCAAAATATGGGTTCTCAGAAAATTCTGTCCCAACATTGGTAGAAGATGAAATATACATGGAGAATCCAGAAGGAAGGGAAAAAGGTGGACACAGAGGCAGGCAGACACACACACACACACACACACACACACACACACACACACACACACAGCTGGGAGAAATCAAGATGAGGAGAGACAAGAAAGCAGCCTCTCCAAACCTTCCTTTCTTTCTAGCCAGATGTCCAGCTCCTCTTCTCACCCAAGAAACCTTCTGAGATTCTACCAGCCATAGGGTTCCAGGACTTCACCTCTTTCCTCACCTGCAGAACCACATGGGATCAGAGTATGGCTCCTGATCTTCTCCATAGCTCATCTGATCTCCATAAAAAGACCATCAGCTCCTCCAGGGCTTTTTGTTTGCTTCCCTCCAGAGTGCCCAGAACACAGTAGATCCTCACTTAGTTCCAGATGATTTGAGAAAGGCTAGGAGAGAGGCTGGGATCCTAGAACCCAAGTGGCAGAGACTGTGGGAGTATGGAGCCCCTAATGGAGACCAAGTCAGGAGAAGGGACTTACCCAGGGTCTTCTAGGGAATTGGTGCAGGGCTCCATCACTACCCCATGGCGAATACTAAGGAGGGCTGCAGTGTGACCCAGGCAGTTGAGGAGGGTCACAGAGAGACAGAGAGAAACAAGGGGCTCCTGGTAGGTGGACGGTTGGGAGATTAGGGGCTCTGGACGGTGTGTTAGAAAGAGGGAGGTAGGCCAGAGTTGGAGGCAGAAGGAATGTGAAAGGGTATTCATTGCACCCTAAAGCCCATTACACCCTAAAATCCCCCAAGAGATAAGCAGAGAAAACTCAGACACAGGAGCTCCCCCGCAGGAGAGGGTAGCTGTTTCCAAGGTGCCCCACACTGTTCCACTTTAGGATTCCCACTTTGATCCCTGATAACACACCCCCAGCCCAGGCCCCAAAGAATGGCCCCCCTTGTGTATCCTGAACAGGACATCAAACTTTTCTCTCTCACTTCCCCTTCACACTGGAAGAATGCTAGCATTTGCAGACAGCCTAGGAAAACCAAGAAGACAACACAGAAGAAATCAACAAAAAACAAAAACCAGAAAACAGAAGTAGAGGGTGTGGGGGGAAGTAAAAGGAGGAATTACTAACCAATCCCTAGCTTCTCACCCACAAATACTAACCACAGACCCCCAGCTAGACTGAAAACCTCACTCCTTTTCCACTCTGGAGCAGTGCCTCCTATTTGCAGCCATTTACCCCTCCCTTGCAGAAGAAAGCTTGTGGTCTGGTGCCAGAGGGTCTTTGGTAGCTGGGGCTGGTGGGGGTGGGAGCAGTGAATTACTGGTGGGGTGGTATGTTCAGTGGCTAAGAGCACAGACTTTAACACCAGACTGCCTGGGTTCAAATCCCAGCTCCACTACTGACTAGCTGTGACCTCGGGCAAGTTACTCAATTTCTCTGTGCCTCCATTTTTTTTACTGTTGTATTGGAGTAATAATAATAACTCCTGTATCCTTAACACCTCAGTTCTAGAATTTCTCTTGTTCAGGCCCAAGAAGGGATTGCTGGGCTCCAGTAAGTTTCATGTAGGAAAGGCTAGAATATGAGCTGGTGTTGGGAGTGGACTGAAAAAAATGGTGAAGGGAGTTCTGAAGCCAAGTTTGGCCTATGTTTTCCCACCTGGCACGTGCAGGCCTTAGATCTGGTCCTGCTAAGCTCTGGAACTGGCCCAAGTCCAGCCCCTAGGCTTTTGTCCAGGTTGGCACATCCTCCATGCTGCTCTCCCAGGCCCAGAGCCTCAGCTCTCCTGGTGGGCTGGGGTGCCATCTTGTGGCCATGGCTGGAAACAAACCTAAGCTGGGTATTGACCCAGAAGGCTTCAAGGGTAGTAGCCCTGCTCTGATGGTAAGCGATGGGGGTGGCAGGCATCCCCTCCCCAGACCATACCGCCTCCCTCCAATGGTCAGGGAAGATTGAAACCAGAGATCCCGTAGTGGGAAATCGGTGACCCTGGCTACAGATCTGTAACTTGAACAGTGACCCTGGTAACCTGGGCTGGACTGCAGCGAGGTATACAGCTGTTCCTTCTTGGAAACTTTGGGG